AGAGGAATGAAAGCTTTTGTACTTTGGGACTGACTTTTTTAATATGCTTAAGTCTCCTATTAAAGCCAATAAGAGTTCTGCCTAGGTAATGAAACTGTAAGAATACAACATGTGGCTCTTCATATTAAAAAAATGTTATGTTTCCCTAGAGGATTCAATATTTTGAACAGATAACTTATCAATTCACTTTAAAAAGTACTTCTGTGAGTGACTTCTAAAATGGATCAATATTCCACGATACAGGAAAGTGTTGAATTTTTTATGCACCTGATTAATGCATTGTTATCATCCCAGTAATTAAAAGGAGCGGCATTACACACAATCAGCATGATACATCTTACTCAGCACCTCCTGGCAGTTGCCTGCAAAAATTAAACTCATTAATCACTGTGATGCCAAGAAAGAAACCTGGAAAAGATGAAAAAGCTCTATTTTATGGGAAAACAGTTTTCAAATCAATGTGTAGGAGAAAATCCCTTCCACTATACAATATGCAAAACATCTCATCAGTCTATCAGGTAAACCAATCAAAATTACCATTTAAAAAGGTAACCCCATCAATCTAAAAAAGAGAATTATGCTAACAAAATTGTTCATAACCTGGTATACCACCACACTAAACTGAATGAAGAGTTCTCAGAGATGTTTCCTCATCTAAATAAATGTAGTGAAAAGCTAATCTTGTAACAAGGTAAGTACATCATGTGAATTTGGTTTAGAGCTGTTGCAATAACTTTAATATCAATAATGCCACTAGGAGATAATAATAAGATAATAAGAGCCAACTAGGAAGTGTTTTTCTGGGGTCATTTACACAGAACCTACTTTCCTTATTACTCCTCTTGTAAATAACATGATTGTCCCATCAGATGAAAAATTAACATGAAAAATTTGCAAGACTTTATCCAGGTTTTGTTCTGTAGTTAGGTCTACTATGTACATATTTTTCATAGGCTGTACATATTTTTCATATAACTATTTAAAATTCTAAAGAATGCTGTGACCTCTACTTTGCTGTATTTTTATGTTACTAAAACAATGTTCTCAGGTGTGTCTCAATGGTGTCTGTAAGTCTTCAATAGTCACATAAAATCCTTACTGGTTTTGATTTGAATTTTGTTAGGGAGTTACTACCTCCTTTTAACCCTTTATAGATTTCAAGCAGTATTTTTCCATCAGTAGTACTTCCAGTGGACAGAAGGCTTACTTACAATACTGTGACCTTCAAAGGCAACATTCTGTTTTTTCCTCTGTTTTGTTCTGCATTGAAGTCTCTGCTGGTGCTTAAAAATACACCACACATATTTCAATAGGAAAAGTCATCATCAGTAACCCATAAAATACACTCAGTTCTCTCCCTATTATTAATCACATGACAAAATTAGGAACAGAACAGTCTCATTCTTAGGTTTGTTTTGATATTTCCAAATGTGGAAAGTGAGAAAACCCTTTGTTTCTATATGTTTAAGTTCTTGGTTTTCCTACTACATTGATGTCAAAAGATGAAAGACAACGTGAATGTCCCACGTGTGCGAAACAAAAAATATAAATCTAATCTTAGGAAAGAGTTTCCAGAGCTGTTTCCTTAATCCCTTCCCCATGATGAGCAATAGTATGTACTCCTGGCACCCTGCACAAACAGACCACTCTCCTTATACTTATCCCATCGTCTTTGTCAGCTCTCTCCTCAGTTTCCCCCTTTCCTCATGCCCAGAGCTGCATTTGCTCATCCTGAGCGAGTGTGATTGCTGCCACTCTGTCTCTGCTGCTCTTGCCATAGACAAGGGCAAGAGGTCACTATCAGCTAGCCCCAGCAGCTCCTGGGGGTGTTTGGAGAGCAAACAGCTCCTCTGACCCGGGACAGGGGCTTCGGCACCCCGGACAGCTCCTCTGACCCGGGACAGGGGGTTGGGCACCCCGGACAGCTCCTTCTGATCCGGGACAGACGGTTCGGCGCCCCGGACAGCTCCTCTGACCCGGGACAGGAGGTTCGGCACCCCGGACAGCTCCTCTGACCCGGGACAGGGGTTCGGCACCCCGGACAGCTCCTCTGACCCGTGACAGGGATTCGGCACCCCGGACAGCTCCTCTGACCCGGGATAGGCGTTCGGCACCCCGGACAGCTCCTCTGACCCGGGACAGAGGGTTCGGCACCCGGGTCAGCTCCTCTGACCCGGGACAGAGGGTTCAGCACTCCGGACAGCTCCTCTGACCTGGGATAGAGGGTTCGGTACCCCGGACAGCTCCTCTGACCCGGGACAGGGGGTTCGGCACCCCGGACAGCTCCTCTGACCCGGGACAGGGGGTTGGGCACCCCGGACAGCTCCTTCTGATCCGGGACAGACGGTTCGGCGCCCCGGACAGCTCCTCTGACCCGGGACAGGAGGTTCGGCACCCCGGACAGCTCCTCTGACCCGGGACAGGGGTTCGGCACCCCGGACAGCTCCTCTGACCCGGGACAGGGATTCGGCACCCCGGACAGCTCCTCTGACCCGGGATAGGCGTTCGGCACCCCGGACAGCTCCTCTGACCCGGGACAGAGGGTTCGGCACCCGGGTCAGCTCCTCTGACCCGGGACAGAGGGTTCAGCACTCCGGACAGCTCCTCTGACCTGGGATAGAGGGTTCGGTACCCCGGACAGCTCCTCTGACCCGGGACAGGGGGTTCGGCACCCCGGACAGCTCCTCTGACCCGGGACAGAGGGTTCGGCACCCCGGACAGCTCCTCTGACCCGGGATAGGGGTTCGGCACCCCGGACAGCTCCTCTGACCCGGGACAGGGGGTTTGGCACCCCGGACAGCTCCTTCTGACCCGGGATAGGGGTTCGGCACCCGGGACAGCTCCCCAGCCCAGCCCCGCTCCGGTTCAGCACCGCGGACACCTCCGGCCCTCCCGCCCGCTCCTGCCGGCGCCTGCCCCGCGGGCCGGACCCCGCTCCCTGTAGCACGCGATTTAAAGGCCATTTCCACTGCTTTGGCACGACTTTATCCTCCCCACCTGAAGGACCCTCTGCCAGACACCACCAGCTCGTCTTTCCCAGTCTCTGCTGGAAGGGCGCCCCTGTGAACTGCCGAGCCAGGCCAGGGGACTTTCTCAGACAGGTTGCCTGCCCCCTTTAGAAACAATTCCTACTAAATGTCCACGTGCGTTAAGGGGTCACCCTAAATCCTTGCTTCTGGCCACACTTTTTTGCACTTCCTTGCAGAAGACACTGGGCAGGCACAGTCAGCCATGTCCCTCGACAGGGCCCAGCAGTATTCTTCACCCGCACACCTCGGAATGGATCGGGGAGGGGAGGAGGAAAAGAATAAAAGGGAAAAAAAAAAAAAGAAAGAGAGAAAAACTTTCTTTAAAGGACATTCTTAATACTATTATTTTGGAGCCTGTCAGCAGAGAACACTCGCACATGCTAAACTGCAGGCTTTCCTCTGCTTCCGCGCTCAGCGCTTCTGGTGACCACAGAAGCGGCTCCAGACATCTGCTGTCTGCAAGTCCAGGAAAGCGAAATTAAAGCAATGAGGAAAATGTGCCTGAGCCCAGCCCTGGAGGTGGCACTCCGCTGGCTCGCAGCGACACCTAGAGCTCAGCACACGGCCGGGAAGGGCCCCGTGTCCCCAGCCACACCGGGAGAGAGTCACGAGTGGGTGCTGGCACCCGGGGAAGGGCCCGGTGCCTTCCTGCACTTAGCCAGGGCCAAGGGGCAGCAGTGCCAAGATCGCTGCCGGTGAGCAGGTCACAGGGAAGAGTCAATCGGGTCCCTGTCACTGCTGTCCCCCAGGGCTGTCAGCACTCAGTCATCTCGGGGAGAGGTTTAGGTCGATTGGCCCCGTCGCTGACAGAAGTGCATTTGCTCTGTGGTCAACAAAAGTCTTTACGAAGGGACGGGAGAATGGACAGGGATTTAAAAGATAATCCGAGGACATTTCCCTGCATACACAACTCTCTCCTCGGAGTGAAGCAGCTCTGCTGTTGTGTCTTGAAGCTGTGCCTTGCTTGGGAAGGCTCCCAGAGCCAAAGCTAAACCCTGCTGCAAAGCTAACGCGTCCCACTCGGGCAAGAAGTATTTTTAACAGACACAAATATTATTCCCAACTGCAGCCATTTGCTTCCCCTTGTGTGTGCTTCCACAGAGGCAAAACACACTCAAATCCCTCTGCAAACCTAACACCAGCCAGCCATACGGAGCCACATGTTTTGATCTATCACTGGCCCTTGTTCTCTCAGCCTGTCCCCTTCCTCGCCACCCCGAAAGAACCAGGAGCAATCGACCCAGACTAGTTTAACTCCATCGGACACAGCAGGCAGCCAGAGGCCCGGATTAGTCACTCGTTACTAAGGCGATATGCAGATGCACCCCTTGAAGGAGCTGAAGGTGCGTGGCCGAAGTTTTCGGCTTCCCCGCGGGAGCTCACCCAGGGGCAGCGAGGAGGGGGGACAGAGGGACCCAGAAACGGCTGCGCAGGGGTTAAAAAGTTTCCCTGCTGTCAGGTTAGGAGGAGACCGACAGGAAAGCCAGGAGGGAGGGGCAAGGTGAAGACTTCTGCCCCGCGAGAGTGTTAAAGGGTAAAATAGAGAATAAAAATAAAAATAAAAGAAGCGGGGGGGTTGGGAGCCTTGTCGCGTAGCTTGGGGGCAGCAGGACGGAGCTGGCACTTGGCGTTCCCGAAGGTGCTGCCCCCGTTGTCCCAGCCCCGCTCCATGGGAGCGGAGAGCCGCGCAAGGAGCTCTTGCCCGAGGGAACGGGGAGAGCTGCGGGGACAGCGCGGGGGCGGGCGGGTCCTGGCTCCGCTCCACTCCCAGCGGGCTCCGTCCCGTACCATTCCCGGCACTTCAGGGCGAGAAGAGCAGCGCAAAGAGCCGCCTGGAAAGAAGAGCGGACAACCCGCAAGAAATCGCTGCCAGCTCAAGAGGGGCACACAGCCATCCCGCAGGACAGGGGGCGGGGAGGGGGGGGCACCCAAAACCCAACCCAGCCCCACGCGAACGACACGGGCGCTTACATCCTCCTCCTCGCAGTCACTTCGCGGCTGGTACTGGAAGCGGGGCCGGCTGCCTTCCTGTTGCAATGGACGCGGGGTCTTGCCGGCAGCGCCGTCCTCCTCGCTGCTCTGGGCGCCCAGGAGGTGACTCGCTTCGGGGGGAACGGGGAACGAGCGGGAGGTGTTGATCTTCCCGCTGAACCGCTGGTACAGTGAAGCCATGAAGTCAATCCGCGGGAAACGAGGGAGAGGGAGGGCAAGAGAGCCGCTTCTTTTTTTTTTTTTTTTTTTTCTTCCCCTCCTCTCTTCTTTTTTGGCTACAGCATGCTACACGCGGGTGAGGATCAGTCCCACATCAGCGGGAGGGATCCTGCTCCCCGGTCCTCTGCACCGGCACCCGGAGAGAAGCCGGGGGGTCCAAGAAAGCAGAGACGGGGGAGTGATGAGAGGAAGAAGAGAGAAGATAGACAAATAAATAATAAAACGCAATCGAGCCGTAACACCACAGGCCCCGGGAATGCTGCACCATCCAGTGTTGGGAAGGAAAAAAAAAATAGAAGAGAAAAAACAATAACCAAAACACTCCACGAAGACGTACCCCCGATAATGGCGCCTGAGTGGATCAGCATTAAATGTGCTTTGGGGGTGTGCGTGTGTGTTTGCAAAAGCAGGAAAAAAAAAAAAAAAAAAAAAAAAAGGAAGGGGGGCTGGCTCAATCGCTGGCTGTCAGCGGCTCCCCAGGCAGAGGTGGCGGAGCAGTCGCCTCCGAGGTCGCATACCAACAGTGTGCACAAGCAGAGTGACAGAGTGTGTGAGACGGAGTGGAAGAGGCTGGGAAGCCTCATTCAAAGCACGTTGCTCTTCTTGGGAAGGAGGGCTCTTCTACGATCATCTCCTTTTCGGTACCTTCTGGGTTTTTTTTCCCTGCCTAATTTTTTTTCCCGGGGAAACAACTCAAAAAAAGGAGGAAAAAAAAAAAAAAAAAGGCAACAGACACCTGATCGCCAGCAGAGAGAGAGAAAAAAGAGGTGGGGAGGGGGAAGGCGAGGCTGGGAGGCGGGACCGGGAGCTGGAGGGGCTCGGGGAGGCCGCTGAGCGCGGAGTGGCTCCGAGGAAGGGGAGAGAAGGAGGGCGAAGCCTCCCCACTGCCCTGCCCTGCCCTGCCCCGGCGGGCACGGCTCAGCCCGGCAAGCGGGCACTGCCCGGTCCCCGTCCCTCCGCCCGTCCTCCTTCGCCCCGCGGCCGGGGAGAGGAGGGAGAAGAGGGGGGTGTTGCGTGTTTTTTTGGAGGTGGTCGTTGTCGTCGCTTTTTAAAATAATCCGGTAAATCGCGTCTCTTACTATTTTTGTATTAATTCATTTTTGCTGCATTAAAACGTGCTTCAGCGCCCCTCAGTGGAAATCCGCCCAAAGCTGCTCCCGGCGGCTCCGGCCGGGGATAAACAACGGCGACCCCGGCGCCGGGGATGGATGCGGGGCTGGGTTTGGGCTGGGGCTGGGGTCGGGGTGGGGGTCGGGGTGAGATGCTGGGGTGGGATACGGCGGGATGCCCATCCGGCACTGCCTTGCCCGGAGCCGCCGGTGCCGCTCCGCAGCCCCGGAGCCGCGGGCGCCGCTCCCGCCCCGGGCGGGGACGCCGGGCACGGCTCGGGCCGCGGAGCTGCCCGCGGGTCCTGCCCCGCCAGCCCAGCGCGGCTGAGAGGGACAGAGAGGGACCATTCCTGCTGCTCCAGCACCAGACAGCGGGTTTCCATAGCAACAGATGCTCGGGTTTAAAGGAAAGTGGCAGAGTTGCTGTCCCTTCTCCTGCCCTCCAAAATCCTCCCTTTTGACCTCTGAATTTACCAGAGATATTGTGATCATAACACACAAAGCATAAACCGGTGTTTGCCCGTTCCCATTGAGGGACTCGCTGCTGAAGAGCTCACAAACTTCAGTATAATTTAACTAGTGGATTTTATGGGCTAAAATTCTGCTTCAAAACACTGTTCTTGCTTAAAGTTTTAGCTGTTGAGATAATACCGTCTCTGATAGATGTAATTTCATCAGTCTTAAAAAAAAACCCACTTCAGTAGATCATGTATACAATATTCTAGAGTGCAACGATTTCCCCTCCATGATTTCAATAACTGCCTGATCAAAAGTCTTTTTGCGTCTGAATGGTTTCATCCACTCCTTTTTATTTGTGTCTTCAAAGTCAGGCGTGAAAAGTCTTAACATTTAGATGAAAAGGGGACCTTATTTCATCACAAGAAAAAACAAAAACAAACGCTCTATCTCCTTCCTGATGGAACTTGAAAGAAGGAATCATTTTGATCTTCACAGCTGAGATCCTGACATTTAATTAAAAAACAAGTTGAGCACACAATGCTCTGAAGCAAAGGTCTGGCTTCTAAGTCACAGTGACATCCATCACAACAGAGGTAACTTTCCAGAAGCCACTTGGACCCCTTGTAACTTCTGTTTCAGGCACAAACTGACTACTAAAAATCTGGACACATAGCTCAGCTAAATTCCAGCTTGAACTGCATTCATGATTTTTGGAATAATCACAGCCTTATGATATTTGGAATTGGTGACAACTCGTGCTGAAAAAACAGGAACTAGAGAATAAAATTAAAAGAAATGATACATTTTTAACTTCTAAGGAAAAACTAGGACACAAAGGAATAATCAAAGAAAGCCACAAAAAGGCAAGACCAAACTACTAGGCAGGAAAAAACAACAAAGATTAAATGACTGAATTAAAAAGTTTCAAAGGAAGTATAGAAAAAAGAAAACATTCAGCATCACAGACCACTTCAAAACCAAAAGAGCCTCTAAGGACCAATTCAGATCCAAATACATTGTGGTTTTAATTCTTAAGAACCAAGATTTCACATAATTGAGTTTGCTTAGTCATGCACACATATAGTGGACATATATGTGTGTACACAATTCCTGGAAAAATTATATTAAGGGAACATAGAATTGCAACGTCAAATACTTGAAAAGCTCAGTAAAAAACAAACAGCCAAATGGTTCTCATCCACCAAAAGATCCTGATCATGTAGCTTTGGGCTGTGATTCATTCACCCAAAAATAAATAATTACAGCTATTTAAAGGCACTTCTGATTCCAGCTCTCCCCTCCATGACAAACCAGGGAGAGCAGAAACAATTTAATGCCGTGTTCTGGGTATCATGGTGGGTGAAGGATGTTTGCAAGACACATTTCTGTCACCCCGTTACAGCCAGAGTGACCTTGTGACATCGAGACATGGCAGCAAAATGGCACAAAACAAACAAACACCACATCAGAACTGGGGTTGCATTGCAGCAAAAGACCTTCCTAACCTGTGGCAAGATTTGAGGAGAAATGAGCAATCTGTATTATGAAACATGTGTAAAGAGGCAAAATATTTCAAAAGTACAAACACGAGGTTCTTTTTTTTTTTTAAGCACACATCCTACATGTAAGAAAAATCCTTTCCCTGAACCCTGCAATGAGATCCCAAGATAAAAATCAAGGCACTTCAAAACAAAGAGTCCTCAAGCGTCTTTTAGTTGTATATTTAATTCAGTATCCAAAGTTTTGAAGGGAAGTTTGATTACTAACTAGTGACATTTCCATCAAAATAAAGTGTGTTAGTTAAGACATTTTCCCTGCAGCTCCAAAGTATGTTTTACTGACATTTTTAAAGCATTCAGAAAAAAAAATGACACTTTTTTTCTCCCCACGTTGTATAAATAAACAGTGTCCCCATATTTCAGCACTATTAATGTAACACAATCAAAATCAGGTCAAACCCAAGCCCTACTGCCTTTAAAACTTTACATTAAATATTTGTTTTCAGACAAATCAGCTCAGAATAACACTGGCAAAGAAACAATCCAGCAATGTTACTCCTGGATATTTTTTATTTAGATATAGCTTCTATCTGTCAGGGAATTCATGCATTCTTATTCATGTTCCATTCTTCTTACTGACAAAGCAATTTATGAGCTTGCCATCTAAATAATATAGAGCTTGTTGCAGACAGAGCTAAACGTGTTTCTGGTTTTCAAGTGGTGATAGTTATTAAGCAGCTGATTAGTGTGGTTTTTTTTAACAATTTTTTTTTTCCAATATTTCAAGTACACTTGTTTGAACTATTATATTTTCATTTTCCAATGATTTTGTAAAGGAATTTTAGAATTTCCTGGTTATATTTTTTAATATCACTCCCAAAAAGGCCAAGTTAGTATTTTCTCTTTAAATGATTGTATTTATTAATATAAAACACCTGGGGTTTTTATAATAGCAACCGTCTAGGCACTAGAGAGACAAAGATAAAATATTTTAACTCCTATTACCATGGTCAGCCAAGATAAAATCATCCAGTTTATGAATCACTAATAGCCCCAGGCTTATGCCTTCTATACATCTGCTGCCTGGTGTCAGCTGAAGACCCAACCAAACCAGAACAGGAATTGCCTTTGCTGTGCCAAATGCACCAATTCAGCAGCCCCTGAGGACACACTTGATCACTCATTTTGATCTAACAGGTGTGCTGGGAGGAGCACTGCACTGTGGCAAGAATGCTGAGCTCATTATTTGTGTCAGCAGCACCTCAGAGCAAGTGATGTAGAAATGCAGCACTGGACAGTGAGTGAAAACACAGAGAAGCATATTTCTCTCTAAATCACACACTATACAGAAAATAATAATCTTGCAGGCCTTATAATGATCAAAAAAAATAAAACAAATTGAAGTCCCTAAATGAACAAGGAAGCTCTCCAGGCTGGACTAAGAGAAACATTGGTAAAATTAGTTTTCTGGGCACCACAAGAATAATTCAGTCTTCCACAAGTGGTGGAATGAAGGCTTTTGTGGGGAATAGAAAACACTAATAGTCAAGTACTGGTAATAATAGACAATGGTGACCTTATGGCATACAAGATTTTGGGGGAAAAATAAAGCATAATGGAAGAAAAGGCTCTTCAGGAGAAGAGATGGGCCCAGAGAGAGCCAAAACAAAAAAAAAAAAAAATCAAAAGCATATAGAAGAGGCAGGGACACAGTGAAGTACTAGGAGGGCTGAGAGAAAAAGGAGATGAAGACAAGTGAGTTCAAAGAGGCAGAGAAGAAATGGACCAAAACTGTCAGAAGTGGAAAGCACCAACGTGCCCAGGGAGCCAGGCTGGGCTGGTGCAAGGTAAATTGGAGCCACACAATGGGAGCATTTCCAAAACCAGGGACATCAGCTGCTGCAGAGGGCAATTCCAACAGCTGGGGGATGAATGTTCTCTCTGTGGTCAGTAAGACAGGTGACTGTAACCAAAGAGAGTCTTGGTACCCATCAAGGCCTAATTAAATGAAATCAAGAGCACGTAGCTGAATATCAGCAGGTTCTTCCCGGTAGTGTGAACAGGACTGTTTCCAAAGGAAATGGGTGAAAGTTCTAATGCTGAGGGCACTTATAAATAGCCTGTGTGAGGCATTAGAAAATGTGCTGTAAGGCATATCCTGCCAACTGGCAAAACTAGAGATCACATGGCCAACGAGGTCTTTCCAATATGGTTTTTTATGATTTTGCCGGTGGTGCAGAGGTGATGAAAGGCAGGGAAAAAAAGAAAACAACAGAGAAGAGAGGAGTCTGAAGCAATGGTTGTGCAAAGCCAAAGGAGAAGAAAATACTGATGTACATGTGTTTGTACAGCTGCACACCACATCAGGGTCCTGGCTTAGCCCTGTAGCTGGTACTGACTACAGTTTATTGGTATGAATTTGACATTCATACCAATAAAATTTGTACTGAAGACTATCTTTCTTGTCTTAATTAACATTCTGTCTTTGGGAGCTTTAACTGAGAAAAGTTAGGATGAGATCCCAATTCTGTGTCTTCAAGAGAAGCCAGGAAATGGAGCATCACAGATAAATACATCTTTCTTTGGATGCCACGAGCTGCTGGCATCCATGTGAGACTTGGCCAGCATTACTGAGCTGCTCTCCACCATGCACATTCCTCTG